GCTTGGGCTATCCTAAATAACTAATTTATTATCGATCCCCTTGGAAGAGTATTAACAGTAAGCAGGTTCATCGGGCAGTTTCGTCGGTGAGACATTTCTTTACCACGCATGATACAATACAATTCCTGGACGCTGTTCGGCTTGGAGGGGGCATTTGCAATTTTGCTAGTCGTCCCTTTTATTATTTCATGTTGATTAACAGGTGATCCATGAGCTTCTGTGACGCTGCTTTATGGTGCCAGCGAGCCACTTGGGTCACAAGAATTTGCAGGTTTTCACAGGTGGCATATACAAGCGTAGCCAAGTACCACTGTGTGCCCCCCACCAGGCCGAACTGCACCCAAATCTTTTTCCTTGTCCACAATAGGAATTTGTTCCACAGTTAAGTATTCAGAATGTTAAATCAATTTTTTCGCGCCACTCATTTCGTTTCCAGTGAAGATACTATTGCATTGCTTAGTACAGCTAGAGGTTAACTAAAAGTCATCGTCGTGATTGAATGCCTTTCATTTCATTTCTTTTCTACTATGTTTTCCCAAAATGCATATCACTATTACAAAATTATAGTGCTGTTTCTGTTGCCCTTGATTTTCAAATAACTGTTGGGTTTTCTCTTGGTTAGGGGGAGAAGGGATCTGGGGGTGGAGCGTAATAGTTGAAGGAGAGCTTTGACGCTAGCATGCAACTGTGAATCCCTATGTCGCCGTTACTTGTTGTCCTGCATGTACTAATCCATCTTGATGTTTTGTGTACAGAATAAATTCTTTATTAAATTTCTGGTTTTGTGGAAGGCTAGTCATCATTTTCAGCACCTTGTGAAGCTTCGCTGAATACCTCTGGTCTCACTTCTGATAGCGGCCGACCAAGTCGAGCTGCCAACTGGAATAGAGAATTAGGAATCTGAGCAGCTTTCACCAATTCGTAAGCCTTACCTCTATAGCGTTTGTAAGGCGGACTTCACTTGGTCTTCGCACAAATGATGTAACTCTTCCAAGGAATGAAGAACTGAGCCGTCCAATACGTCCTACCCTGAACCATTTACTCGATGGTTTTCATTAAAGAAACACTCAGCGATAAACTTATAAGGAGCCCGAAACGTCGTCAGTGTTTTTTTTATGACTTTGCTGCACCTCTCCTGCTAGGCGAAACTCCTTTCACTGATGACGATCATGACGTCTTCTCGCTCAAAATCCATCGCTCAGAACCCTTAAAGGCAGTTGACACGTTTGCTGGGGATGGCGGTTGTTCCAGCGTTACAGGTGGAAGGGCTGCGAGAGGGCTTTTGGCCACATCAGACTCTACACTTCCTGCAATGACACGCCGCTCGCCGTCAGCGATCGTGCCCACTGCTGCGTTTAGTCGAAGAAGCTGATATTTTACAGTCCTCATCATTAGCGATCAGCTGATTTCGATGGAATTCGGCTGCAAATTCCCACTTTTTCAGCTCTTCAAGCTTCTAAAGTGGAAGGTGAGTTATTCTGAACAATTTTGAATTGTACTGGCTCTGATTTCCTTTATTTTTATGTCGATTATATGCTCTTTTCCTTGTATTTTGCCTTATCAGGCATTTATATTCAAATGCTTGCATTCTTTCAGATTCCATTCAGAGTCAGTACAATTTAAAATTGCTCGAAAATAACTCACCTTCCACTTTCGAAGCTCGAAGAGTTGAAAAAGTGGGAATTCGCAGCCGAATTCCATGGAAATCAGCTGATCCCGTCACCGAGCCGCAGCCGCTGTCGCGTCACATTGCAGCGCGGCTGTGCCGCCCCGACAGTCCGTAATGATGAGGACTGTACAGTTACGTATTTACAACAGACCTATAGTCTTACTCGCTATGGGTGAAGCAGGCGTCTCAGGCCAGATGAGTTTTCGCGGCGCTAAACCAGTTCTCCCCCAGTTGTGGAAGCGACAACAATTGGTGGAAAAGGACAAATACAAGCGATAGCATACAGTCTTGTCGCTTCGACAATTGGAGGAGATTTGGTTCAGCGCCGCGCCAAACTTATCCCGCTTCATCTGCAGCGAACTAGACTGTACACAGAGCCTCTTCGAGGTATAAACCGATTGAAATAAAAGTTAATTTCCATCAAACCTATGGAGAAAGCCGACATTGTGCGGCGAGAGATCATAGTTGATGACGTGACTTAAACGAGGAAGATCGATTCCTCTGAAAGTGAGGTTGTTAAAAGAGAATACCAAAATCCACCACCGGTATTGTCTATCCTGTTGGGACCATTCCCAATATTTTTGAGAGCGGGTTCATAGTTCGTGATTCGATCGCTTGAATCGCGTGATCCACGCGACTGGATCGCGAAGCATGAAAGCATCCTGACTTTTTCCCCAAATAGTCTACTCGAGACGGCATTACCATCGGTGGTGGGCATTGTCCTACTTGGAGATGGGTGAATGTAATGGTATTGTAGATCAGTTATTGCGAGCTCACCTGGCTGCAGCGTCAGTAGCGATGAAAATTCTTGCGCTATCGTCACCCATAGCATCACTAGGAGACTTTCCATAGAGTCGACCTTGTATTCGAATGATTTTAACTGCTGATAGACAAAACCAGCCGTGGCACGATCCTTGCAAAATAAAATGTATGAAGGTGTTATCACATACTGTTGTCAGGCAACTCACCTTGCAGAATACCATGGTCTGATTCAGAGCACCTCGTTTCATATCCTCGGATAGCAGTTCTGTTAATCGATCAATTTTATCCCTCTCTCGAACCCTAAATTAGTGCAGATCCTCGTTGTGATAGCTGGTATCCTCAGTGGGGGGGAGGGGAAAGGGGGAAGGGGTGGAGGACAATCGTCTGGTGGGGCCGCTGGTGGGCGTGGCCGCGACGTCGCGCCTGCTAATGTATAGCTGTCAAGCGTTTTCCTCGTATTGAGTTCGGTTTCTGCTGCCATCTGGATCGACGTATGATGCCCTCTTCTACGAGGAGTCCACTGCTTTCTTGGATACCTGGCAGGAGCCATCAACCAGGATCGCCGCGAGTCACATTACGCTCGGGTGCCAAGACGAATGTCTTGCCACACCCCTCCCTCCCTGAATGACAGAACCGTATTTCGGTCGCTGTGAGGTTAAGAAGTTCGCACGACTTGTTCAGATGAGTGTGAAAAGCTGGAGAGCCTAGGAAACAACAGACATTTCAACTGTTTTGGGAGCTACCTCCTTGCCACCCCCCCCCCCCCCTTATCCCCTTCTTCCTCGCTGGTGAGAGTCTCTGGGACTTTAGTGTTGAGAGCAAGTGGAGCGTGCCAT